ACGAGATTGTCAGAACGTCAGGCGTAATAAACATTCCGTCATACAAACTTGTCCAACGTAAGAAAAAAGTTATCGCGGATATAGATAAAGTATGCCTGGACTGTTTTCAAATCAGTAGAAACGACCCTAACAAGGGAAGGATGGTAGGTCGAAGTGGCCATTTGAAATGAAATGTATACCGGCTGAAAGGTCTTCGGACGGGAATTACGAAACCGTCTTCCATATCTGCTGCGGATCTCCCAGGAAAAGATTATGGTGCTTCTTAGGAGGAGAATACTCGCATTCAGTACGAATGGCGTCGTAAGGCTGATCCGATCGTGGCAGCGTGGCCGAGTGGTTACGTAGTAGTGCTCACGAGTGCGTGGTCGAGGCTTTGGGTCCGCATTTTTTCAAAAGTGGTCTCTGTGCACTTCGAAGCGATTTTGCATAACTCTTCTGCGTGATAATGTCGTGACGTAATGTTTCTGAAGTAATGGAGCCATTGCGAACGATTCCATGGAGAACACTTTTTGGCGTTGATGTTGCAATCATACTGGAGATCGTGACGGGTAAAACCTTCATTCATCGTTCAAAGAAGGATGTTTTATCCCAAAGTGGTGCTTTCGGCTCGTATGACAATCTCTTCAGCCAGAAATGATCTCCATGAAATCGTTCGCAATGGCTCCATCACTTCAGAAACATTACGTCACGACATTATCAGGCACAAGAGTTATGCAAAATAGCTTTGAAGTGCACAGGAGACCACTTTCGAAAAAATGCAAAAGAGCACACGCATCAAGGATCCAAACCCTCGACCGCGCATCTCGTGAGCCCTACGACGTATCCACTCGGCCATGCTGCCACGATCGGATAAGTCTTACGCTGCCAATTCGTACTGAATGCGCGTATTGTCCTCCTAAAAAGCTGCAGAAATTTTCCCTGGGAGATCCGCTGCAAATATGGAATCATTTGAGAACGCCTTCCAAAAATCTTTCAGCCGGTATACATTTAATTTCGAATGGTCACTTCGACCTACCATCTTTCCCTTGTAAGCGAACAGGAAAAGTACGTAGATCTAGGTTCCAGCATCCAAGATCAGCATAGGCATGACAAAGTGACCGAGGAAGTACCTTCACTTCAAGCCCATCGAGAAGACGACCACCAACACGGATGAGCATTTCGATGCATTTTAGGAAATTTTGGAGTTGGGTATCCATGGATACCACCCAAGCTCCTGTGAAATCAAATTCACGGCTGATGAATGCTCTTTTAGAGT